TAAAATTTGAGTTGACTCTAATATACATTAATTAATAATTTATATTAATTAAAATATAATATAAATAAATAAAAAACAGAAAATAAAATGAATAATATATATTAATTAAATTTTTAATAAAACAAAAGGTAATAATAATTATAAAAAAAAAACAATTATAATTAAGCCTAACTTAGGGGGTGCGATTAGTGACACATAGGGTCCCATTAGCCTCTCCCTTAATGAAATACCGCTTGCTTCACGGTGAAGCTCTTTCATATGGTGACTTTTTGTATTATATTACATATATAAAACCAGTGTTCTATCTGGAAGAAACCCCCCTTCCACACACTCGCAAAGAGGATAGCAACAGCATAGCATAGCAAAATTGCTTCTTCCAAGACCAAACCACAACTATAACATAATTACTATATATATATATATATATATATATATATATATATATATATATATATATATATATGGTTCAAAAAAGATCTAATTGGAAGCAGTGCAAAGATGAAGTTGGGGTAAATTGATCTGGTTAGTTGCAAGGTCGTTGAGGATATATATATATGAATCCTTCATTCTGCTTCGATGTGTAAGTTAAAGATCTCCTCACCTTTTTCCTAATTAATTTATTTCCAGCTTCAATTCCAACCATATACATATATGAATCGCTATTGAAACTAGAATCAACAATCAAAATGAAATGAAATATAGAGGCAAGTGAGATCTGGTAAGTTATGGCTTATCTTTTCAAAAGGGTATTATCGTTTCAGCTATTTGATCAAAAAAGTTGTTGCAATTTTTACCTTCTCTTTATAAATATAGATGATGCTGATTAGATTCACATTGTGTATTTGTTTTCAGGTTGTTATATCTTAACGACCTTGCAATTAACCACATGAATTAGCCTCCACATGAGCTACAAGCTGGACTTTATTCTTTTTCAAATCATCAAGGTGTTTATGTAAGTTTACTTGCTATGTAAACATGTGTTAACTGATCACTAACCATGTAGGAATATTGATCCTCAACTGCAACAATATGAGCAAGAGCTGAGACAGTAAGTATCTCATATTTTCTGTAATATTCTCATCTCAAATATATATATATATATATATATATATATATATATATATATAGGGGCTGGTTCAAATACTAACCCAATATTTTGTGCAAACTATGCTAACCCATCTTAATCGTTCATTTTCTCATCTAACGGTTATTATTAAATGAGATTAAATAAACAATAATTTAATTAATATATTAATTAATATGTGTATGAACAATTGTTCAAAGGATAAATTGGTCAAAAATTTGTATTAATTAATATGTGTATGAACAATCGTTCATCTTCGTGCCTATATCAAGGTATGAACATTCATGTGAACCCTATGGTGTGAACCCTAGATATATGAACATTAGCTACACCGTGTGAACCCTAGATATATGAACATTAGCTACACCGTGTGAACCTAATGAACACTATAATCGATATATGTTGGTCATATGATCATGTTCTTCAACCTTGATGCATGCTCGTAGTGATACACATGCACGACGATGAGACATGCACATTAACAAAAACAGGGGTTGTGCAGATAAAACCGATACCTATACTTTATATCTGTTCGTGCATGATGTTCGTTGTAGGTGGTTTCATATGTGAATTAGTTGTCAATAAGATGAACATATTTGAATCTTCATGTCATTATTAGATGAAGATCAATTTGAGATATTGTAGGATTTGTAACTCCCAATTAAAATATTTGGGAGTTACATAAGAATGACTAATGACCTAAATACCCTTATCATTAATATGTAAGTTACATTTTAACCAAACCCAAAGATGCAACATTATTGGTTGATGTGGGTTAGCAAAGTTTGCACAAAATATTGGGTTAGTATTTGAACCACCCTCTATATATATATATATACATCAGCAAGCAAAACAAAAATGTTGCATTGATATATGCAGTGCCCATCTATAGCTTGGGAAAGATAGACAGACTCATTAATTGAAGAATGTTTTGGAGCTTTACAATTATAGTTGTAATCTTGGAGCAGAACCAACAATAGAAATCATAGAATTTACTTACTTGTCTAACATCAAAATGTTGCATCTTAGTATCAACTTTCATACCTCTTCTTGGAGGGTTGATGTGTCTGCAACAAACAGAATTACCATCAATTTAAAGACTTTTATAAAAACAACATTCTGTCCTTAATTGCTGCTCAAAGTCACAAATTTTACTCACCACAAGAAGCCATTAATTACACTTTGGGATGTTATTCTCTGTTAAAAGAAGTGACCCTGTTCTTCCCTTGCACATGAAAGAGAAGAACAATTAGTATAATATCATGATTATGGGAGAAAAGAATCTTTGTGGCCTAACATCCAGCATGTGAAACACACACAAGTATATAAAAGGAGGTCACTAATATTTTAATTACAATTTGTAAGTTATGGTAAAGATGTCTGATGAGGTTGTTCATATGGGAGTTCCGAGTGGTTTTTGTTTGCCAGCTAATTTCTTGTAATAATGCTTAAAACCTCCTATCATCAACAAAACTCAAGGGCTCCTAGTGTAGTAGAGTAACAACATCAAAGCATGGGTAATCTCCCTATGTGGCATTTGAGAACTTATTAAGGTGTATTTAGAAACCAAACATAGAAAAACAAAATAGGAAGTTTTTTTTTTAATCAAATATAGGAATAAAATCTTCTTGTTTTTAGTGAAATTGTGGAGGAGTTCTTTAAAATGTTGGTCGGTCACTATATATCAACTCAAATATGAAATATAAACTACTCCATGATATTCTATCTGTAATGAAAATGCCAGGTGCCACATGATAGGTCAATTATACTATTCTAAACTACTAATGATATTCTACCTCACCCCCTTCCTACCAAATTAAGAATCAAATTCAGACATGATATGTGAAAAAAAACTCCATCAAATATGAGTTCTTCAGCATATAACACCAAAATGTTTCTTTGATCGATCCTTCACGATATGTATGTATATACACATTTTCAAAGATAAATGATCACAGTGTGTTTGAAGATGATTCTTGTTCACCTATTATTACTAGTACCGGATAGAAAGAGTATGAAACATGTGGCTGAACAACATATAGTTAAATTAAACATGTTAAGTGATGGGAATGCACCAACTCACTCCTTCAGGAAAGAAAAGGTTACCTGGTTACAGACCTTGGGACTTGGGACTAGTTCTTCAAGAGAGTCCAACTAAACTTCTATGCCCTCACATACCTTTATGATACATCTCCTCCTTATCACTTCTTGAGGTAAGCTATCATACATGATGTATGAAATATAAAGGCTTCCCTCAAAAGTTCATATTGTTGAACTTTCTGCACTTTCCGAGCATGGCATATGTAGATACACCTATTGCTGGAATAGAATTATTCGATTCTTTTTGTAACATGTAAATAGTGGGGGAACACAAGTGAGTGAAGACGTAAAATTACCCAAATGCATTGAAGAGATCAGGTCAAAACCGACAGAAACTCGCCAACCCTAATTGTCACTGCATGCTAGAGTAGTGACTGGATTCTATGGATATTAGTCTATTCCATCTTAATCCGATTTGAACTATCAATCATATGATCAACATATACCATGGGGTTGCTTGTCTCCCTAAGGCCCACTAGGTAACTCATTAAGATCATTGTTTTTTTCCATTTCATTCCAGAATTTTCCGTGAGCCCTCTATTTAACTAGAGTATTCAATATTACTAAACCCTACCATGACCTTTTCTTATACAAGTTAAACCTTATTTTTCGATTTAATAGACACTACTCATAGGCCACCTCAAATAAATGTTGGTGATTTTAGTGTCACCGGTTACATTTAGTGTAATGGATTTTATACGTGTGTTTCAAGGRGATTRAAYTTTGTTCTAAAACAAGTATGGAGAGTGTGGAGTGCACACTTGTATTAGTCTAAGTCGGTCCCGGTAATATTTAGGGGGCAACGCCCCCTGAACGCAAAACGGGGGTCCCGCTTTAATAATGAAAAATTCTTGAATTCTTGAAAGTATAGGGTTTATAATGAAAAATTCTTGAATTTTCTGTGGCATGATTGTGAATTCTATAACTTGGTAACTCCCGTTTTGAGTTTTGAGATCTAATTTCGGATGATCGGTTTTTTTGGGGACACACGGAAGATTGGAAATACTCTATATTCTCTCTGGTTTTTGAACTTGATTTCGGCCAAAATCAAGATTGTTGCTTTTACAATTATCCCAATTCGGATTTCGTGATRCCAGGCATATACGGTCGAAATATCGAATTTGGAAAGTGATTCACACGATTGTAGAAGAAATCCGGTTACGGTTTAACAATAAAAGTTTCTCATCCTCCTTATTCGTTTCACTATACAAAAGAACTTCATTAGGGATCCTTCAAGAGAACCCACTACTAGTAGCATTAAACTAAATCTCCAACAAAAACTTAACCTCACATGCACTACACCACGACATTGCTTTGTGCATAGTATGTTTGCTTTTTGTGAGGAAAAATTTACTAATCCACATAGCATCCTCTAACGTGAAACCATTGATCCTAGTAATTGCCTAATTGATATATAAGATTTTATGTTCTATATCTTCATATCATTTTCCTCCTCCCTTTAGTTGTGGATCTCTGATCTCATCTTCATTCACATCAAAAGTATAGGAACCCACAACCATTCTTCATCCACCTCATTCATCTACAAGATGATAATAGCATATGACTATACTATTGGAACCTTAGAACTTTGAACGAGGCCCGGGATACACAAAAAACATCAAAATCAAAACCAAAAGGTATAAACACAGGAAGTTTTATGAAGATGATTCAAAATCAACAAATAGAACAGTAACAGTCTAGGAAGTGAAACGAATTAGGTAGTAGCAGACAATCACCTTTCTCCGTCCTGTTTGCACAAGAGCAACACCAAGTTCTTCTAGCATCGTCCTGTCAATTGGCTCCTAGAATTATTTTCTTGAACAACCTGTGCAAAGAATTAGATTTCATTGCTTGCTACTTGATTCAAACTAGCGGACAGACTTCCATATGCCATACCATTGTACTCTAGCTTCTCGTCATATATATATATATATATATAATATATGTATTGTCCAATGGTCCAGATTAAATGAGAAATAGTTGGTGTCTTTTTTTTTATTAACCTAGATATCCGACCCGCTATGCAAGCGACTAATCCTAGGGGCGACCACCTGTTTTGCAGATAGCCCGTAGTCACCGCATTTGAACCTCGGTGGTCACAAGGGGATTTTTATTCCTGCTTGGATTTGAACTTGGGACCTCCTGGTACTTTTGACCTTTGGAGCCAAGCTCAAACCAATTAGGCACCACCCTTGTGGTTAATAGTTGGTGTCTTTACGTGTTCATCGTTTGTAGAAGCTCTTTACATGTTCGGAATCTTGGTATTGCAAGAAGAATTCATCTAGCAAGGGTAAATTCAGTAAATCTGAGTCATGATTAATTAATTACATATGGTAATCGTTGATACTGAATGTGTATATAGCAAAATAATGACCAGCTAGTTCTTCAAGGAAGTTATAATTGTTTACTAAATCTCCTTAGCCTCCTTTGATAGTTCTCCCATCTGCTTCAAGACAGCTCTTCTGATATCTAGCCCCATGCTGAACCCTTGATTGTTAAGGGAGCATTTAAAGGGTTACTAATAATATAAGTAATTTAGTGCAGAATGCAAAGACCAGGAATTGAAATGAGATGGGACAACATGGGACAAAAGTAAGATTTCATAGGACTATTCTTGAGGTTTTTTGTTCCACCAAAAAAGGTAGAACAATATGGGACTAAATTTGAGATTACAATATTACCCTTATTATTTCGTATCAATACAAAACCTCTTTTCTATCAGCCTCCATTTCCACGAGTTTCTTCTTCCAGTCGAAACCCTCCATTCCAGCCTCCATTTCAGATATGATTTATCCTCAATCTTCCATGGTTATCAATTTCTCCTCAATATTCCATAAAATCGTTTTCTATCAGGTACTACTTCTCCTCTTTTCTTCTTCCAGCCTCCATTTCCACGAGCTCGAAACCCTCCATTTCAGGTACAATTTCTTCTCAATATTCCATGGTTATCGATTTTTGACTGTTGAATATCATTGTTCTAGGGCTAATTATACTTTTGTATCGATTTCTGACTGTTGAATACATAGCATTGCTTCTGTATCATCTCTTGTTGGGTTTTTGTCAATTTAGATTGTGTTACAGATGCAATACCAACATTTTCCACTTATGACAGTTGCTAATGAGTTTGTGTTATTTATAAGTTCTCACTTAGACATTTGGCAAATCAGTTTTTCATCCATTTGATCATAGAAGTTAAAAGGGTCTCTTTCTTAAATTATGTACACATTTACAATTGTTGTGTTGGAATATATTTAAATTATGTACGTTTTTTACAATTGTTGTGTTACAATCATGTATACAAATTTAGAAAATAGTATAAATATCATAGATGTAATTATTTAAATATATTTTGGTTGATTTGTGTCATTTACAATCATTATATGATGTAAAATAACATTAAACAGCATTTAGGGACAATCTGGTCATTTTATGAGTTTTGTCCAGTCCTATTCTAGTTGTACCAAACGTAGGACAGACAATTTAGTCCAGTCCCGTCCAGTCATATCTCGTCTCATCCACTCTGCATACCAAACGCTACCTAAAGGAGTATACCGTTGATTAGAATGCATCATTTTTTGTAAATTAGTATTGATGCAGAGAAAAAAAATGAGTTGAGGATATATGGATGCATTAGATATATATTGAAAGTTATAACGACTTACAAGATGAAGGTTATAAAGAAGTTTGGTGAATAGTACGAGCAAAAGTTAACATGTGGATGTCATAACCTAATCTTGTGTATTTTGATAAACTTCGCTAACAGCTCATCACCTGTTAATCTGTGAGTTAATATTTATCAGAAACGAGAATCTTGGTCATCAAAGCTGACTGGTTAGAGTATACTGCGAGAGGAAAACGCTCTCAATGCAAGAGATAATGAATTTAGGTTTTTCATGGAACTTGTTAAGAAAGTAATTCCTCCTGGATTCATTTCTCTCACTGTCTCCAGTTCCACAAGTTTACGTCTAAAAGCTGCTTAATTGGAACATAAATTACTTCGACAACGTTCCACAGTCACAGTGTGCTTTGAACAATCTACATGCAACCATTGGGGTATAATGAATGGCATCTATAAACAAGGGTGTTGTGATATGAAAAGTGTTAAGCAAGCATCATACAGAATGGAACATCCATGGCATCTTATATGAGCCATCACTTAACTGGTGACTTGTGGTTAATTTCATTGCTACTCATGGAGATTATACAACTGGGAGGGGAGATAATCGTTTTCCATCTCAAGCTGTGTCATTACAAAACTAGAAAACAACTCTCCCTGTTGAAGGGATGATGAGGAAGTCGATGTCAGTGACGGAACCCGACAAAAATTTGTCAATAGAACAGCCATGAAATAGAAACTCGCCTACTTTAGAAAGCTAGGTTCCCAAATTGCTCAATTCGATGTACTCTCTTATATTAAAGAAAATTAGTTAGGGTCATAAATATAGTTGCTATTGTTCCGTAATATGATTCTCACCCTCTCTTCCGCTAACACACACACACACATATATATTTCGTAGGAGGCCGGTGACGAACTAGTGAAGCATCAAGTACAAACTACTCATGCATAAGGAGTTATGTCTTGTCACACAAAGGTAAAGCAACAAAAAGTAGATTGGGGTCCATACATATAATAGGAATATGAGGCTTTTGGTTTGAAAGCAACCCAAGCAAATGCACTTTTAAGTCTTTGATATTTTTCTTTCTTGTTCTCTTGTCGAATAGTGCAAAAATGTATACTATTCTGAAGAATGGTCTATCAATTTATAATGGATCGTGAATGGTAATTTATTCATCACGAATGGTATACCATTCATCATGAATAGTTCACGAGTGTTCACCTTCATTATCCATGACGAGGGACACCCAAGGACACGTGTCGTGCTATCCCTTGTCTCCCCTCACAACCTAAAATGGTTTGCAACCCAAACTTTTCTCTCCCTCTCTCTCTCTATACACACACACGTGTATATATATATATAGGTAGACCCGTAGAGGTTCAAACGAGAACATGGTCAAAATATGGAATCTCAAAAACAAATTTCAACCTTCCACCTCATTATTTAATCAAGATTGAGAAAAAGATGACAATCTTGTAATTATAGGGAAATCAATGCCATTCTATTAAAAGGCTAAAAGGCATTTAAGGGTGAGATTGGGCAAAATGTATTTCCTAATTGAATTCATGAGAAAAGGAGTTGGATTTATGTAAAAAATTTGTCAATATCTATTCTCTCTCCAAAACCTTCAACAACCTCTAACAATCTAAGGGAGTACTTGTTTGATAGTTTCTGGAACCCAAGCTCTCATCGGCCTTGTTGAGAAACGACATAAGCACATCGTTGACAACAAGAGATCTATAAGAGATGAGATGTGGCATCGTTGGCTAAAGGAGTCGACTTTTTAGACGGAGTCGAGATAGGATGCGACAGTCTTTGACGGGAATGAAGGCCCGACATTTGTGTGTGTATGTGCAGGAATTAGGGCTTGATTTCATGCTTCATAACCTATGTTAGGTTGATTTTAGGGTTTTGATTGTGCATGATTGTGTCATGAATTTTTTATTTTACATGATTTAAACTCGTTGATTTAAACAAAATTTTGTGCTTACTTTGTATATTATCAGATGTGATATTGGCAATAAACTATTGTGCTTTACCTTACCTATTATTATATGTGATATTGTTAATGATTCATATGTTTTTAGTATGTATGATACCACATGTGATATTATTAATAATTCACGTGTTTTTACTTTGTATAATATCACATGTAATATTTTTAATGGTTCTCTGCTTTTGGTTTTGTATAATAGAACATGTGATTTCATTGATGATTCATGTGTTCATTGTATGATATCATACATAATGTTGTTAATCATTCGTGTGTTTTACACAATATAATATTTCTCTGTATAATGATTCATATGTTTTTACTCTATGTTTGGGGAAGGAGGGGGCAATGGTTGACAGAACACTAGGGACGACTAAAATTGTTGAAGATCGGAGGCTTAGTGTAGTTGTGCCACTATATAGGACCAAAGGCGAAATACAACAATTTGATTTCTATTGAGGTATAAATTTACTTGGCCACACCATGAAATTATGAGAGCAAGTGATTGAGGCAAGGATGCTACGAGAGAAGAACGTGACAAAGAACCAATTTGGCTTCATGACGGTCAACGATCGAAGAATTCCACCATTTTCTACACCTCATGGAGAAGTAAAATGTGGTAGGGACTTGCACACGGCCAATGGAGAAGATGGGGTGTACTTGGACATCTTTCAATGCAATTCAGATCATGTACACTCGAGTGAGAACGTATGTTAAGACACCGATATATGATGGAGTATTTTTCGGTGGAGATATAACTACACAAAACCCATTTCTATTTGTGGTAATTTTGGAGGAGATTTCATGAGAGAGAGGGAATATCCCTTGGAGCATGTTATTTGCATATGACATTTGTGTTTGTTGCGGAGTTGAATCTGTGGAGCCGATAACATGTAGTTGTTGACAGCATTGGAAGTACGAGGTTGCACAATAACCGTTTGAAGACCAAATAGTTATAGTGCAACTTCAACAAGGGAATATATTGACGAGGGGGTAAAAGTCAACATTGGCGGCAAATGGTACCATAAAAGGACAATTTTAAGTATCTAAACTAAAAGATGGGAAATGAGGGTGAGGTCAAAGATAATAATTCGTCGCATAAAGACATGGTGACATAACTGGAGGTTGTCATATGGGTGTTCTATGACAAAGAAGTCTTGCTAGAACTCGAAAGGAAAATTCTACAAGGCAGCCATTAAACAGTGTTAAATGAAT